GTACAATAACAACCATTGTTCAAAGGCATATAAATAGGAGTCGGCAGTCATAACAGTTAGTCGATCACTGACAATTTACTTGAACGTAAGTCTGAGCAACAGTATTACTATCTTTTACTAAGCAGATATACTAGTAGAGTAAATTAGAAATGTTCACGAACGAATGTCCAGACACAATGAATCCAACGGAAGAGAGCTGCTCTGGCGATGGATCACTGAAGCGAAAGAGCGATCGTCAGATGGGTCCGAAAACGAAAAAAATCGAAGATAGTGAAGAAGACGGCGGACTTGGTATAAACGAAACTGCAGATGGAGGCGGAGCTACGGTCGCAAAAACTCATGAACCTGAAAACATACGCCTTGACGACGATGAAGAAAGACCTGACGAACGAAGAAATCCTTTTGGATTTCTTAGACATTTAATTTCAGACGGAGACGAATCAGTATCCTCTGACGGTGATTATTTTCGTGGTTTGCCCTCAGAGCGTGATCGATGTAGTGATTCACCCGAAGAAATGGATGAGTTCGGAGATACAGAAGATATGAGAGGATACGATGATGTTGTCGGCGACAGAGATGACGACACTTTACAATCAAATCAGGAGAAATATGAAGACCTCATTGTCCAACTTGGACGTGAACTCGCTTCAAAATTTATGTCCGGGATACACAGGTATTTTTTAATTAAATTTTACAACTATTTTTATATTATTATTAATTATTTTAATTTTATAGATATGTCAGTAGCATCATTGTGCCGCTTGGAGTTAGGGGAGTTCAGAGGTGTCTGCGAGAGCTGGACTACCTTATTGACAAGTACCCTCCACAACATTTCTACGTCATTGCCAAGCACGACGACCACATCCACATCAGCCACATATGCAGTGGTGTATTGGAGGGTATACGCGGGTATACGTCGTATACCCGGATCCCTATTTTTGGATTTATGCGTATACCTTTAAGAAAATTAGTCTTTTATGGGTATACGCACGCTTCTAATTTATCATCAGACAATTTAGGCATATTATCACCAAACAAAAGTAAAAACTTAAAAATAATAATAATAATAACCTAAATTATATTTAGTTATAATATTAATTTATTATAACATAAAGTGCACTGTCCAAAAATACTAAAAATAGCCCCGTACCCGCATGAAGTTCGATTAAATTTTACCCGACGTTTTCTTGCGAAGACGATCGGAAACTGCCGAGCAATACAATCAATCAATGAACAATCAATGTACAGCGGTTCTCAAACTGTGAATAAACATACGTAATTTCATTTCAAACTAAATGATAATGACAAATTAGAATAATAATAAAATAATTATTGTTGATGTATTGTGTTATTACTTGTCTGTTGTCATCCAATAACCAAATTATAAAATCGAACTATTAGTTTCTCATTATACTAATTCTATTAATTTTGAAATTCTTTTAAATTTGTAAAATATTTTATACAAATAATATATATATAAATATTTGTATACACATATATTATAATATTATATGATCGATAATGGATAATAAACGTACCGCTACTTCTACTATATAAGTATTTTACTGTACAATTGTTTTAAAATTTGATAGTAAAAAGTTGTATTATTTATGATATATATCATATATGAATCAATTGTTCCCAACAAGTCTAGTTTACCGGGCACATATTTTTTTTGAAATTTTTTTTTTGAAAAGGGTTGTTTTGACGAGTTAAGAACGATGGTGCAAAAAAAAATTGCGGAAATGATTATTTTGGAAGTTATAGCTTCCCAAAGTTAACGATTTTACGTTTATACGCGTGCGCGCAACACTACTATAATGCCGCGCGGAGGACCTCGAGTTTGGCGACCGTTTGGCAACACTTTTAAAAAAAAATTTCAAAAAAAAAAAGGTGCCCGGTAAACTAGACTTATACCATGAAATTGAATTAATTAAAAAAAAAATAATACATTGATACTTGGTACATATTACACACAGTGGAGTATATATGAATTCATTTTATGGTTGTGGGTGAATATAGGGCGAACTGGGGGGCGTATATAGGGGGGTATATACGCCACTGCATATACATATACACATGAAGAGTAAGTGTTTGTAATAAAGTTATAAAAGATTATTAAATACAAAGTGTAATCATTTTTTGAGCGGAGCGAGAAAATTTTTAAGGTAGGTATATCGTATATATAGGTATATACTATATTCAACTACTTTTAGGTGCGTATACCCATAAATTTATTTACCAATACACCACTGCACATATGTGGATACTCGGGAGGGTGTTGTCGGTGCGCCTTCATTATTCGAGGCACATTTTGGCGCGTCGACGGCAGACGTAGACTTCGTAGGATTACTAGAGGGATCGACATGCAGGCAATCGATTACGGAAACGTATTGCGATACTTATCTACGGGCGGCAGAAGCATCCAACGCATTGGAGGTTTCTCAGAAAATGGAAGATTATTTGATCGATATAAATATTTATCGGTTAGTTTTAAAAAATTATATATTAAAATTAAAGTATAATTATTTAAATAGGAAAAAAATTGTATATAATAAAATAGTTGGGTCTAACATGATTAAAAATATTAAATTACAATTAAATAGGGACGATCCTGATGATCTATTAGATATAATAGAAATAAATAATAGTAGAGAATTACAACAGTTAATAATCGTATTAAATACCGACGATGTACAAGCTCATTTTATGTTTAAATTTTTATGTTGTATTGAAGATTCACGGGTAAATTGTAGCGAGTACGAATGGAATTTTGAAATTATTAATAATTTTATTACTTCTTATTTTAACGATCATGATTATATTGATGAGGTCAAAGCTCCATTATGTAATTTGTGTAAAATGCATCATTTACCAGAACATACAAACAAAGCAATTATAGATATGAATAATAGATATAAATTACTTCATTACGAACAATGTTCAAATCGCATATTTATAATAATTAATATTTTATTATAGGCGTACCGACATTTGGGACAAACAGAAGGGGGACTATTGGATGGGAGCTACGGCGCGGTGCAGAGGGACATTCCCTGCGAACCATCCAGCAGTGAGCATGTCGTCAAAAGTGGTAAAAATGATGGGGGAGGAGATGTTACTTCAAAAAAATCTGAAGCGCGTAAAAGAAAGTCGTGGGTTCGGCCGGAAAACGGACCAGTAAGCATAACAGAATTATTGTACCAGTACCCATGTTGTCCCCCTGAGGCTTATAAAAATGTAAAAGAATATTATTTAAACGACAATCTTAATTATTTATGCGCTAAAGACAAATATGTAGATAGGGATTTAGAACTTTGGAATATCAAATTAATGCACTGGCGTCTTATCGATGTTGATAATTATTACAAAGACGATAAAGTACATCCTTATTTTAATGCTTACAACAGATTACGTGATCAAGTATATTATAATGTAGATAAATCAGTAGAAATTGCTAATGAGCTATTGTTACATCAGTTCGACAATAACACTGAAAATGTATTTTATTTTTTAACAGATTTGATTAATGTATTAGATAAACGAATACCAATATGTAATACACTTGCCATATTAGCTCCACCAAACGCTGGGAAAAATTATTTTTTTGACGCCGTAGCGTCTTTTTTTATTAATTACGGAACACTAGGCACTGCTAATAAAACAAATAATTTTGCTTTTATGGAAGCCGCGGGAAAAAGATTAGTTTTGTGGAACGAACCAAATTATGAAGCAAATCACGTAAATGAATTAAAAGCATTATTAGGTGGAGATTCTTGTAAAATATCTGTAAACTATAAATCTGAACAAACGTTGCAAGGCCCTCCTATAATAATTCTTACTAATGATAATTTGTCCATTTTCGGTATGTCTGCTTTCCAAACTAGAATTAAGTTATATCATTGGCAGAGTGCCCCTTTTTTGCGCCTCTATGATAAAAAAATAAACCCATTATTTTTGTTAAGATTATTTGAAATGTATAACATAAATATTAATCAATAAAATACTTTATTATATATATATATATATATTACAAACATGTGTTTATTTATTTATTATTTATAAATTGTTCTAATGATGACGGATCTTGATAATTTCGTCGTTGTAGTACATCAACAATAGACTCTGCTCTGAATAAAGGTCGGTTAATCGGTTGTGTTGTTTGTTCCGTCATCTCCTGTAATTGTTATGTTGACGTTGACGGAGAAATAAATTGATTATTGAACAAAGATAACTCCTCCCAGAACATGCTCTCCGAAGTGTTATTATCGACGACCATAGCAGTATTTTCAAGTTTAATATGACATTCAGGAATCAGGAAACGTAGTGTATTTGTAAGGTAAACCGTATTCACAGATAAGCTCAGTTTCAATGTCCCATAGACATTCGATATCAGTGAACTTATCTGGTACAAAATTTGCATTAGTGGTGGTTAATTGTCGTACGGGACAAACACCGATATGTAACGATGGTTGAATTTTTACAGAAGTAGACGTACGTAAACCTTGTTTTATATACTGTCCACATTCTATAGGTTCAATGTATCGGTTGAAATTATCAGAAAATAATTGTTTCCACTTAGCGTCAGTCAACAATGAATAATTATTAGATACGTCGGCTTTACACGTACCATTAATGTTATCCATTGTATAACTATTAGGTAATGCAATACTATTAGTATCTGCGAGATTAAAAGATTCTTTGTTCGTGCCGTTAGACTCCGCTCGTCCCGCAAATATTGCTTTCCACGGCATTGATAAATATGATAAAGTAGGTGTATATTCGGAATCAATAATTGTAGTACCTATAACTGCGCTAGCATCCATTTTTGTTACGTGTTCATTAATATTTTGCCATCCAATTTTCCCTTGATTTTGAGCACTGTTTGCATACATAGTATAATAAGCTGGAAATTGCATAGGCAAATTCATAAACGAAAATGGTAAAGTTGCACCTGCGGACCAATTCGGTTTCAACCAGTCGTCATTTTTTGTCCCGTACTAGACACTTATTACTTTTTTCATAAATGTAGTATCGATTATTTTACAAGATGTCGGCACCATTGGGTTAGTTGCAGTAGCAAATTCATATACTGTATTAAAACCTCTAGTGCAATTAACTAAACCAGTTGCATGTTGTATACATTTATTTTGATTTAAAGTTGCCAAATTACTTGTTGACGCGTTGGTCTCAAAAGCCGTTCTAGGATTACGCATAAAAACTTTACATTTCACTTTCAACACACGTACTCTACGAATATTACTAACTATATTATTAAACTCTGATGGTGACATATAAAAATAAGGTTTGTCTACTGGTAAGTACATTAGAGATGTTGTTCCCATACGTTCGCTAGCAAAGCTTCCAAGTTGTAGCTGAACACTTGCCAAACCATAACTAATAATTGAGTGGTTTTTTCTAAAAAACATTGTATATCCTGTTGATTTATGAAATGGCCGAGGTATGACAACATTTTCAGTACTAGGATTCCCAGCATCTGGATCATCAGCTGTTTGATTCCCCGTACCAGGAAGTTTCATCTTCTTGGAACCACTGCTACTTCCCTGTGCCTGATCATTTGCTCGTTTAGGTGTTGTCGAAGTAGCAACACTCATCGGTGTTGATTGTGATGAATGAGGTGTCGTATTATTTGGATTTATACCGCCGTCAAAATGCCAATCTAAGTCGCTGTCTGTTTCGTAATCCCAATTATCAGGTACTCGAAAAATGTCACTTCCCTCCTCCTCTTGAATATCTGGTTGTACAACTATTTCTTCGCCTAAAACAAATGGAGGTAAATTACGACGTGCACGTGCTATATTATGTTGCCGTATTGCATATAATTTTTGCCCTTTATTTAAATTATTTCAATTTGGTCGTTGTGGAGGAGGGGGACCCAAATAGCGATGAACCATTGTTTACCTGATAAGCTTCCTCGTCGTCTCACAGTGGTCTGAAACGTAAATTTACACGGCAAAACCCTAAATTTTTAACTTAACTTTTTTCTTGTTTTTTAATTACGATATTAAAACATGCATCCCAAGGAACCTTAAAATAAAATTCTGAGTTCCTATATTCAATTTAACGTGACTTACAGCGCTGTCCGTACATTGTTTTTATAGTAAAATCGTTATTTTATCGAAATATTTACTTTTTTTCTTGGATATTTTTCTCGCATTAATAATTTTTGTTTATAACTTTTAATACAATTAATTTGAAGTATTTTATACCTTCAAATAATTAACAAATATAGAAACACATTTTTTAATTTTTTTAGTTTTTTTTTACACACTTGAAAGAAAAGTTTCAATTTTTTTTTATGTTTTTTTCACTTTGACAGACTTCTTTTAAAAATTACTCATGTTTACCATATATTGAATGCATATAACACGTAAAGAAAGTTTCCAGCTATTCAAAAATATAATTTTGGTTTGCATCTGGTTATGGATATAGTGTACAGAAATTATTTATTTCAAACGAAAACATGGTAACAATATAATAATACTATACAGTGATTATTAATTTAACGTACTCATTCAAATTTTAAATCTTGTTGTGAATTATTGAAATAATTTTTACTCATATCAAAATTGTACTTACGTTATTTCGAGAAAACTAACATCGTCCAACTCTCATCTTAAAATCCATCATCGTTTAATCATATACCTAACATCACCCAGGTAAGAAATTATAATAATACATACGTCATACTCACACAATTTCAACTAGGTATAGAATTATCATCAGCAACATATTAATAAAGACACGCAGACTTGGGTGTATCATAAATCAACATAACCTTCGTTTATAAATTCCAAAAAGAAAAATTGGTTTTTACCTATAATTTATTAGTGTCACACAATCACTGGATATACAGATATTAAATATAATAAAATAGGTACATATTGTTTTTTTAGGTAAACTAAATAGTTATAATATTTGTTTATTATTCAACGTCCATATAGATACGACCGACCTGTCAAGTAGTATCCGTGGTTTAAATGTTTATTTCTTATCAGCCAGCTACTATCAGTTAGGTTTATATTATTAAATTTTTTTTACACAGATTCACGCTTTTAACAAATATCGCTATATTTTAACTTCACCTACCTACCTAATTACATTTTACTGAATTTTTATGCATTTGCGTTGTGTTATACTATGTTATTACATAGATATATTATAATATTTTATTATATTATGTGTCAGGGCCTAAAATTGTGTGCAGTAGCACACACTATGTGCAGTAGCTAATATTAAATGTGCAGTAGCAAATTTAAAAATGTGCAGTACTCATTTTTGGTTTTATACATTTTTATTTGATTAATATTCAATATTGATTATTGAAAATTGGTAATTAGCATAATATTGTATTCGTTTAAAATCCTTAACACTAAAAATAATACCTACTACATCATATTCTGGGTGGCTTATAATATAATAATTATATTAACCTAAGCTATTTCGTTTTTAATTTTAAAATGTTCAGTCATATAGCCATATAGGTTTCAAGGAATTATATAGAAGATTGTTTTAGATTGTATTTATTATAACTAATTATTAATGAATAACAAAAACAATTATGCAATGAAGTTATATGTGGCATGTGGCATGTGGCATGTGCACTACTAGGTGCATTATATTAAAATATTTTGGTGTGGAATAAGGTGTGCAGTAGCAAAATATCTTAATTTTAGGCCCTGTTATGTGTTGTACAATAATTATTTATGGTATAAATGTATAATAAGCATATTATTATAAATTATGTTTAAGTTTGTGTGTACATCGGTGATTTGAGTGACTATTTCACCCATTCACAACACTCCTATGCAATCTGCACATCATAATCTATATAAATAAAAATGGAGCGTGAAAAATGGTCGTTACCTCATCAATCGAGAACGGCTGGTCCGATTTGGCTCAAATTTTTTTTGGATGTTCGTAATTGCCGGTAGAAGGTTAATAAGAAAGAAAATTTTAGGAAAATCCACAGGAAAAAAAGGAAATCTGGATGTAAAAAGTACAACGGTGACGCAACAGTTTATTATAATTTATATTGGTTGCTATTGGTTAATCGGGTATATTTGTTGATTTGTATTATTGTTTTTTGTCAATATATATGTATATATATGAATAAATTAATGTTTGTGTGTAGATTAGAACTGTGGGAAGAAGACAGGCTAATTTAAAAATGGTTTAAGTTGGTTTTTTTTATTCATCTAATATTATATAGTATGGTTAGGATTTTGTATTAACTGATTATATTAATCCACCATAGGTGGAATACGACAAACTTGGTCCAACTTTGATACAATGTAAAATACAATCATTGCAATCTATTTGAAAAATAATATGAAATAAACACATCTTGAGCAATACCAATAATACCACATTAATATTTTAATATGTTGAAGTTATACTTCTTTACGCACGGTAGTGAGGAAAAAAAAGCGAACGGGCGGCGCGTACGAACGGGCGGCCGTACGAACGCGAAAGCGTACATGTCCGTAAATAAATAAATATTGTCATGGTAATGTTGTTTTATTATATATTATAATATATATATATATATATATCTGTCTATATAAAACAGTAAGCTGATTGACTGCTATCAACGCACACCTCAAACCATTGGACGGATCTGCTGAAATTTGGCATACAGATAGCTATTATGATGTAGACGTGCGCTAAGAAAGGATTTTTCGAAATTCGCATTTTAAATAGGTGCTCAAACAGGGACATTGAGATTCAAGATGGAAATTGGAAATTTTATTTTTATTTATTAACAGTTGCCATTGGTTACAGTCTACATTAGAAATTAGAATTTATTTATTGGTTGCCATTGGTTATTCGGGCAGATCAGGTACAAGCTTGCATCAAATCAAATTATTGAACATTGCCTACCAGGGTGGCTGAGTTGCACTTACCCCAGCAAGTTACACCCAAAAGGAGTTCAATAATCATAATTTTTTTAAGAGTTGTGATTTTTTACGAGATTTTACCAAATTTGTTATATTAATCCACCGTATTATATCAAAATAAACTTGGTATAACTTTGATAATTTAGAGTTAAATCATACACTTCCGTACAAACAGCACGGGGTCCGCGATCTACCGCAGGTAGATTGCTTACCTGATAATGTGCTGCTGCGTTTCAGAATTTTTATTCCGGGCAACGGAAAAGATAAGATAAATTTTGAACACCATACACCGAATATTGAATAACGAATTGAACAAAGTTTGAGTCATAACTCATATTGAGTTGATACATTTAAAGGGCGACAAAGTGCACGGGATCAGCTAGTATTATATATTATAATCGGGCCATACTAATTAATATGAATAATTAATGATCGATTATTATTTATTTTTATTATTATTATTAGTATTCACTCACAAATATATTGTCTGGATAAAAACAATACTACAAACAATTATCCATCGATCTGTCGAATAAAAATATAAAAAAAAAAATAAAACCATCAATAATAAATAATTCCGGATACTTCTTCGCATTTTTTAAATTAATTAATATTTTTTTCTTTCTTTTTCACTCACTCACGTGTACCATTCAAAAGAAGTTTAACTTCCCGAGCGCGTACTGGTAACACACATGGGTTTTTAGATTTCTTGGTTACAGTATGAACTATTTACGAGAACCTTTGTGTTGAATTTGCAATCCTTAGCTATAAAAACTGAACATTTTATAATTTATTAATTACAATGATTGATAATTTTCGAGATTTTGATAAATTTTATCAAAATTTTATCTTTAAATGCTTATAAAAAAAAACTGTGCCTATGTATTTTTAATATTTTTCAACTGATATTGTAACAATATATCAGGAGCCTTGTATTACATTTTTACACTTTTTGGCCCAACAGATAAAACTTTATTGATATTTATAGAAAAAAAACTAAAAAAAATTGAATGCTGTAAATGTCCATAAACAGCTCAAAAAGAGTCAAAATATTTTCAAAATTGTATGGTGTATAGGAAATGCTAATATCAACATTCAGTGAAATTTTCATGTATCTACAGTTATTCGTTTTTGAATTACAACAAAATAAGAAAATCGCTACATGAGAAATCGAGTGAACATCCAATGTTGTAAAAATTTGAATTTCAAACGCTCATAAAAATTTAATTTGACTTTCCGGTAGAGATTTTTTTATTGATAAAGGTAGACAAACTTATGAGTAATCTTGTATTACATTTTCAAATCTTAGATTTAAAAAGAAAAATTTTTACGAATTTTTAACTCAAAATAATTCGCTAATTTTCCTGATTTTTCCATATTTTTACAATTTTTGAACTTTAAATGCTCATAAAAAAAAATTGTGACTAAGGATTTTTAATATTTTTCATCTGCCTTTGAAACAATATATTAGGAACCTTCTATTAAATTTTCAAGCTTTCGCAACCAACAAATAAAATTTTATTGATATTTTTAGAAAAAAAACTAAAAAAACTAATGAAAAATGAAAATGTCCCTAAACAGTTCAAAATAAATCAAAATATTTTGAAAATGTTATCGTGTATATAGAAAATGCAAATATAAAAAACCAGTGAAAATTTCATGGATATACGTTCATTTGTTTTAGAGTATAAACTGTGATTGTATATTTTTTAGATTTTTTGGTAAGAGAATTAACTACTTACGTGGAATCTTGTTTTAAATTTTCAATCCTTAGCTATAAAAACTGAACATTTTATAATTTATTAATTACGATGATTAATAATTTTCGAGATTTTGAAAAATTCTGTCAAATTTTTATTGATAAAGGTAGTCAAACTTATGAGTAATCTTGTATTACATTTTCAAATCTTAGATTTAAAAAGAAAAATTTTTACGAATTCTTAACTCAAAATAATTTGCTAATTTTCGTGATTTTTCCATATTTTGTCAATTTTTGAACTTTAAATGCTTATAAAAAAAAACTGTGACTAACGATTTTTAATATTTTTCATCTGCCTTTGAAACAATATACTAGGAGCCTTCTATTAAATTTTCAAGTTTTTTTAACCAACAAATAAAATTTTATTGATATTTTTAGAAAAAAAACTAAAAAAAAATGAAAAATGAAAATGTCCCTAAACAGTTCAAAATAAATCAAAATATTTTGAAAATGTTATCGTGTATAGAAAATGCAAATATAAACAACCAGTGAAAATGTCATGTATCTACGGTCATTTGTTTGAAAGTTACACCAAAAACCAAAATCGATTTTCTCGAAAACAGATTTTGAGTAAAAATTTCAGTTTTCCTTAATTTTTCTTTTGTTTTTCCCGGCGCTTTTGAAAACTACTGGGAAATTTAAATTTTGACCTCCCCAATGCGATATTCACTTTACAATCGAACAAGGTACTGAAGTTGAAAATCGAAGCATTATTTCGACTACTTATCGTGTACACAGACACAAAAAAATTAAAAAATTAAAATAAATAAATAAAAAACTCACATCATTGTAAAATCAATACATTCATCGTACCACTCAGAATCTAAAAAAACTGTGTTTATATATTTTTGAAACTTTTCGGTTCCAGAATAACTTACTACATAGAATCTTGTTGTAAGTTTTCAATCCTTATAATTTATAAACATAAAAGTTGAATATTTTATAAATTTTTAACTACAAAATCATTTTTAAATATATTGTCAAAAACCAAACTTTAAATCGAATTTTCTGAAAAATCGATTTTGCGTAAAAATTCCCGTTTTTCCTTAATTTTTCTTTTGTTTTTCTTGGCGTTTTTGAAAAGTACTGGGAATTTTAAATTTTGACCTCCCCAATGCACCAACGATATTCACTTTCCAATCGAACAAGATACTGAATTCAAAAATCGAAGCATTATTTCGACTACTTATCGTGTACACAGACACAAAAAAATAAAAAAATAAAAATATATAAAAACACACATCATTGTAAAATCAATACATTCATTGTTTCACTCAGAATCTAAAATAAAAGTAGATAATATTCATAAATCACCAAAATTAGATCATATTTTGAAATTTAAAGCTTCATCGTAAATATACAGCAACGTAATTTGAATACAAAAAAAATTTTAAAAAAACTAGTTAACTATATATTATTGTATTAATTATCTCTAAAATATCGATAGTTCCAACAACACTTTAAATAAAGAGTAGGTATTTACTTAAAATTTCAAATCGATATATTATATGTACTAACAGGAAACAGCAGTTTATATTTTCCAAATTGAATTAAGTACTGATTTTCTTTTAACTATATATATTTGACATTATATAATAAAGCAATATAGCATTGATTCACGGGTATTGCTATAGCTTAATAATAATTATTATCGTTGATTTTAAAACATAATATTATGTAATATATTGATTCACTTTATATATGGATTGTAAACTAATGTAACTAAATGTAGGTAATACCGTCAAAAATTACGTCCAATCAAATATTAAATACTAATTATATAGCGTTTTAAATAATTTAAATAATTTTTTATTATGTTGAAGGAAAACGTCGTTAAAGGATAATATCCAGATTTTGAGTTAAAGTGGCTAACATCTGTTATCTCTGGCCAACGCATACTACTATGTATAGAAAAAAGACTATTCTCACATTTTTCGTATTGTAGTCTATAACTTTTCAATTAGGTAAATTGTTGAACATACGTACATCTTACACGTATATACATATATATTATATAGTGCACAATAAGCACGAGTGCTAACAGAATAATAAAAAGACATGTTTGTTGAAGAAATCATACAGCAACATTCGTTAAACAACATTTCGGCTGTTTTTAATAACATTTTAAATTTTTAAATCATTATCATTTTCCTATGAATTGAAGTTCGAAATAAATACACAATAATATAGTTTTACGGTCTTGTGTCTTCCTCATTAATGAGATCCTACTTTAATGTGTTGACGTGTTGTAATAACATCATTCAGCAATTTATTACAGTTTCCTATTTTTTCTGATGGTGTTCATAATTTAATTTGACTATTTGATAATAATAAAATTATTCTTTAATAAAAGTTTCTTAACTTATGATACCTATCTTATAGTGAATATTAGGTAAATATAGTTTGTTCATGAGTTCATGGCGTATTCAGACACTCAGTTCATAATTTTGGGAATGGATATTTACTAAGAATTTTTATTTTAAAATAATAAATTATAATTATAATTATAATCGGTTTAACGGTATTGCAGTAATTATTTAAGACTTTATTGATTTTTTAAATTATGTTGTGCTATAGTATAACCAGTAACCACACATTATTTTAGAGTCATCTCGATTTCATTAATATAATTCTATACCGGCTTAATCTGATTAGCTCTATAATGTGTTATTCATTGTTTTCACCATTATGTAATAAATGCATTTGGTACCTGATAACTTATTATTTGGCTTCATCTTACTTGAGTAAATGCTTATAATCGGCTTTAATAGGTCAAATTACAATCATAGATTTTTAGTTGTTTCAAGGAAATAAATTATAATATTATATCCTAGAAATGGAAATGTTAAAAACGTGTTTATAATTATTATTTATTCGTAATTACATATCTAGTTATTTTGAAATCTTTATAGATACATATATATATATGTTATTTATGTTGTTTTTTTTCGCGTTATAGGTTTCATGTGAATTATAATAAACTCCAATGAATATAAATAATGATAATAACAATTTACCTAAACTTAAATGGTAATATACAACTGCGGATGTACATAATGATACATAATAATGAAAAATACTTATGTACTATGCGTATTATATAACTTGCTCGTGAATCTATTAAATTGCAATCATATTCTAAGTTAATCTAAGAGTGCAATGATATTCTACGTTAATATTCTTCCACGAAACTACCGGTCACAAAATATACGTGACGAAACAAAATATAAAAATAATGAAAATAATAATAATAATATTAATAGTAATAATGTGCAGTATTAAAAATTTAGCGCCCAGCTGTCCTGGCGTCCACTTGACTCAGTCGACACCTCAATACTCCAATCCAATAAGCTTTCTGTAAAATTGTCTGGTATCTGCAGTGTTTCAGGTGTCATTACCGGATGGATATCAATGATATCAGCCTCCTCAGGAGTGGATAGGGTCGTCACGTGTATCCTATTAGTTTGACCATATAACGAAGTTTTCGATAATACACTGATCGAATAAGTGGAACCGGGCTTCAAGTGGTTTATCTGAAACGTGCCATACTATAAATAAACTGTTTATAATTCTATATAAAGATGTTTGCACCGATGGTTGTTAGAATTTTAATACTTATACAATATACTTGCCTACGTACCCATATTATTCGTTCTGCTATCGGTCGTATTAAATCTATAAAAAGTTGTATCTCATAATTACCGTGCAGTTATAAGTTGGGAGTTCTTCTGTTATCGGAATCTCTATATCGGGTTTGCTATCACAGCATTTATCTATGTCTTTAGACGAAATCTCTTCGGTGTTCACTATGAACGATTTCAGCACACCGTTGAATATCAATGGAATGTCCCATTCCAGTGAAATATGCGTGGAGCCTACGTCTGTTGTCCTGAGATTTTCCGGTTTATCTGCAACTGTTTAGATTTGTCGTTGAGCATGTTGTTATTTTTTTTTTTTTTTTTTGAGACCTATCAAAAAGTATATTGTATACTTACACCCGTCGTTGAAAATGCTGACGACTGATGCCGCACTGCCACCTGTAGGATAGTCTATCGACTTGGCTTTAATCTAAAACACAATATTAAGAAGTTGTATAATATAGCTTTATTTACTAAAACCTCGACATTCGCTGAATAGTATTATACTTTTATGGTGTATTGGTGGTTTAGTATTAGGTTCTCAAAAGTAGTGCAATATAATTTTGGCCAAGCAATGCATCTTTTGGGTTCTATGGTAATTTGCTTTGTACTGTTCATATTCTCGTCGATTGCGCTGACAATAAAACCGTTGATGATGTTTTCGTCAGGGAAACTCCATCGGATACCAATCGATTTGTGCTTCAAGTCTTTCTTGTAAACTATTAATTCGTACACCGGTACGGAAACTGAAATGTAATAAAAATAACTTATAATATAATATGTAATAGGTATTATATATTGTTAAGATGTTACGTATAGTATAGGCATATATTATGTATAGGTACATCCTGTGGCATGTTAATGGAATTGAGGGAAGGGAAATTGGAGTAAAAGTATTTTGTAGCAAGATTTATCATAGCAATAGAAAGATCCTTATTACATTTAGTTTTGGTTTTGAACGGTATCAACAATCCTTGTTTCCAGTTGTATCCATAATTCGTCAGTACGTATACTTGCAGTTCGTATTTTGTGTCGGGTTTTAATCCGTCGTAGTTCACCGTGTTTTGTTTAACAAAGTTTTCTACTTGCGTGCCTTCTACTATATCCTGTATACAATACGGTATCATTTATTTTTAAAATTATATATAAAAGTCAAAAATATAATTTGATATTGTGTTGTGTAATTATTTCAGTGTACGCTGTTTATACAAAAAAATAATCACAAAAAGTTAAACTGACGTATACTATTTATAGATACATTATACTAACTTTAAGTATGATCTGGTATCCTCGAAAGAAACCATTTAGTTTAGAACAATCGGCCTTGTTTATCGTCCAATTGAAGTATGCGCTTTGATTGGTGACACACGAACCATCTCTGTCGTTAATTGCAGGTGTTAATTTGGGAGCTATAACAATATTATCAAGCAATTAAGATTATAAAATATTTTGAATATGTTTAATATTAAAATTTATGAAAACTACTAACTAGAGATAGGCGTTTTTACAAAAACAACATTAGCATAGTCGTTGTAATTATATCCTTTAATTTCTGGGTCAACCTTTATAACATACTGTGTGTTCGGTATCAGATCCCAAATTTCGCGTCTTGTCTGATTGTAAGCTAACAGCGACGTCCAGTTGTTTGTAATTACTTCGTTTGAACAACTAAAATGCTTATTGACCTAGACACAGTTTATAACATATTATCTTAAAACGGTGTCGTACTGTTGTCTAAACTATTATTGCCTGCACGCCTTTTTGCTATTAAATAATTAAATAATTTAATAAAATAATATTATGACCATCATACCTTGTATTTAATTACATAAGTAAACGCCGTATTTACGTATTTTTCGTCAACATCCCACGTTATTATCAGTGATGAACTCTGATTTAGTTTGGCTTTTATGTTTTTTATTTTAACAAATCCTACAAAATGAGTTTGAAAATTAGTGTTTTTTACGGTAAATGGATCTAGGTAATGGTATAAATTATACATATACCATAAGGTGTGGTGTAAATATATGATATTTTTGATGGTGTAGCCTGGCCCGTAGCTGATATTGCTGTTACTTGAACTGCGTATTTTTCACCAGATAGTAGATTTTCAAACACATATCCATAATTATTATTAGATTTTACTTCTTCTGAATAACTTTGTTGCTGTATCCCTGCAGTGTGATTAAACGTCAGTTTCAACAAGTAATCAGTTATTTTACAGTCCTCTTCGTTTTGATCGTTAATCTATACAAGAAATAACAAACATAATAATTAATAGCATATTAATACATTGTTTCAAACTCAAAATTAAATTACAGTAATGGACATGTAGAAACATTATATGCAATTTTATTTTAGTTGTTTACCTTGTTCCATTGATGTAGTCTGTGCCACTCGATAAGTTGACATCATAATTTAGGTTTCTTGGCGCTTTATTATACAAAAAATAATTGATATTGTAGTACTATATGTTCTAATATATTATCTTAGTAATGATTATTATATTATATACTTAGGCACTTGGTCGTGTAATTTACTGTTTTGATATCATCTATGTTGTAATTTCCGTCTTCTGATACTAGGATCACGCCGAAAGTGTATGATATTCCCGGTCTGAGATCGTCTATGACTTCTATTACGGACTTTTGTTTGAGTTCTTTTAATTCCAAGTATTGAAATTTCGATTCGTTTGAAGCGGCCTTAAATATATACAAGAAATATACCAAAATTAGAGAAGTTCCAAATAGATAAATACATAAAAAAAAACTCAAATATGCGTATTTTTCTTAAATTGTTGTAACTGAAGATAAGTAAAATATCTGTTGATTTTTTTATTCAAACAACTGCAATAATTGTATATCACAAGCCTTGTCGGGTTTATTCTAAGTTTTTTTTGGGTAATTGTGCTGATTTTTAGGAACATAAAAATGTATTATTTTTAAATTTGTCATATAGTTATCGATTGTGACTTTTAATTAACCATATAGTTTTAGTGGGTAAATTGTTATTAGATTTTAATTAGACTACCTATAATAATATATTATTATATTTTTTTTTTTTTTTATTTTTATAATTTTTATTTACAATCTGTTAAAATAAAATGAACAATAAGTAAAATAGATAAATTAATAAGTGGCTTGAGGAAAGGACGGATTTAAGAAGCCTTCCAGTGAAGGCACTTTGTCAGCTGTTTATATACGTTTCAATAAGTTATATTATTATATCTTTAAATTTTGATGTTTGTTATTATATGTCCCTAATATATGTATATACAATTTATTGGTACATGATATTTACCTTAAATAGGATTTGGTAATAGTCAGAGCTAACATTGCTACTGCCTAGTATGTTTTCCGAAGTAAAATCAATTTTCAATTTTAGTGACCTAAAATCCGACGATTCTAGTTGTGGCGGTGATTTGAGCCACGGATACTCTAAACGCAAAACGAATTATACTTGTATTAATTTTTTCTTTAACACGGATATTACTTTATAGAGGTTTAATCGTTTAGCTTTACTTTCTTCACAAGCCGGTGCAATGTAACTTGACGTACATCCTTTGTTGCAAATACCAGTGTAAACGTCACACGATGTCGAACTACATCTCTTCGAACAATTTTGCTCGCAATTTACGCCATACGTACCACTCTTACATTCTGCTCTTAAAAGATTCATTGATCAAGGCATGTAGATGTGTAGTCACATCAATACAGTTTACATTTTATTAATAGATCTCGTGCAATGAATAATAAAAATAACAATTTTAATGTACATAAAAAGTCTAGAATAAATCGGAGGTAAAATGTCAATCCATATACAATATACATCTATAAAAGATATTGTAATTTGTAGACTAGCTTGGAAAATATGCGTTGTGTAGGTACCAAAAATGTATATTTTGTTTCTGAACAATTCAATTTGCCTAAAAATTGCAGTTTAAACCGAAAATGAGATGCCTTAAAACTCTGAAATATATAATATAATATGTCTTTGGATTTTATATTATGCACGTAAATCTGGACTCGGATAACCTTGTATTTAAATGACAATAATTAATTATTTACAGCGCCCTTACTATACCTGTGGTGCAATCGTCTCCTGTATATCCCGCCGGACACTTGCACCCAAAACTGTTGGTACAAAACATCATCTGCCGACAGTGTGTTTTATGAATCGAACACATTCCGGTGCAGTCAGCGCCAAACGTGTTAGGTCCGCATCCTGATTAATATATATATTATATAATGTTATAACGTCGTACTATTTGTATTTATTTATTTATTTAAACATCAAGCACTTTCGATTTCAAATGTATGACAATTTTAATGAATTTTTCAAACTATTCACCGTGTTCGCATTTATTGCCTTTGAAACCAGGAGGACACGTACAGCCGTTTTTGTCTGAAAATCCTCCGTTAAGGCACTCCAAAGGTTGTCTTATCCGCTTCGTATTTTCTAAAATTTCCGACATATTATTATGTTTAGCATACGCTTGTATACTGTGTAGTTCTACAATAATATGTGATTCGATCGCGGATAAAATAAAACGTTTCACGTAGCGCCTTGTTTATTCATTTATTCGGTTTAAGTTTTATTTTTTAATGGCTGTAAATTTAATGCCTTATAGGCGAGATTCGAGTATTTTTGATCACCCTTTTGTAGATCAATTTTGTCTTATTTATGTAGGATGAATAATGCCAGATTCATTAAAACCTAACATTGATTTGAATATACATCACTAAGTATAAACTATATATGCCTCCAGAAAACTACAGTTTATAAATATATCCGCTCCAAGTCTCCAACAGAGCCTTAAATAATAATTTTTAGCATACGACATACCTTTACCTATACTTATAGGTTATCTACCAGCATTCTATCTATGAGCATGGTCATCTATTCATTTTTGTATACTAATGAAAATTGCTAACGTATGCATTTAACTAAAAAACTGACGTATAGTTATATTAATATTACTATATTTATTATAAATTTAATAAACATTGAGATCGTTAAAAAAAAAATATCAAATAAAACGCTCTCAACTCATTATAGAGTTAACAGCTTTCAAGATTCGTTCAAAATTGATATGTTTTTCGACCTAGTGTCTCGTTCATTGAGTTCGTGAGTATTTAGTTTTTATTTACATTTTTCTGTTCCCAACAAATGTTCATAACAAAATTATAGATAAAATATTCAAAATAGGTTTTTACGTGCATAATTTATTACCAAATGGATAAACATTGATGTTTAACGAAGCTGCTGCAGATGGTGTCTTTTGTAATTCTTTTGCAGTTATTGTCAATATTTCTTCGTTTTCTGTTTAACGTAATATGATTATTATCATCATGACATTATATCATATTATATTATGTATATAAAAAAATAAAAATAGACAGTGTTTATTAATATAATAACATAATGTGTTGATCACTACAACAGTGTTATTCTTTTAACTAGCTAATAATTTATCTTCTGAGTTCTGAAATGCAATGGACTTTTTAAATTTTAAGTCTAAATATTTATCATAGAACGTTTATAAATATTTAAGTATAATTATAATTTGATTCAAGTTAGAAAAAAACTGTTGTGTGCTACTGTATTACCCAAGTATTAACTACGTTTTTTAATTACCATACTCATCTGTGCATTGAGCTATTCGTTTAATTCCAATCTCACAGCCTTCCATGTATACTGTTTTATAAGTATAATATCCATAATGATCATATCCGTCAGTTTTAACTTCTGATATTTTTTTTTCCAATTTAAAATTTAAACTATATGTTTTGTTTTCATATAACCAGTTATTGCTTTTGAACAATACCGTTTTTAGTATTTTCTGCAAAAAATATTTAATAAAAACTAAAAAATAAAATTATACGTTTTATCCTGAGTGGAATTTTTTTCGAAAGTTAGTTTTTTACTATATAATATATTATAGGTGGTAAGTATGTTTTTTTTCATGATTTCCGTAAAATTGGATTGATAAAATAAAAATTCTCCAAAACCTAAGGAATACCTTAATATAGCCATAAATGTGTAATGAAATACGCGTATAATTAAAATATAATGTTTTTGTTATTCTAAATTAAACTGTATAAAAAGTGACTTTGTGCATTTTAATAGAATATATTACCTATATAGGTCGTATTATATATTTAAATACATATGCAATACCAATTACCGATTCTTTAATATTACTAGAATATAAGACTCCTTTGTCAAGCTTATCTTCATCAGTTAGGTACATTGAAAACGTACACTTCGACTCATTTCCTAGTAAATATGATACAGATATACACATTTTAATTAAATTTCTTTGTTTCCATTTGATTTTGAACGATTCTGCGTTGTTGTTAGCTTTCCACAATAGCAATTCATAAGAGGGATAGATGTTCAGAAATGCAGCTGGATCTGTAACAATAGGAACGAGACATTGAGTATATGTCAAAATTCAAAAACGTAAAATGAATTCAAAAATATACAAATAAATACTGACTGACCGTTTTTGAAAAGATATTAAATGACATTTTTTATAAGTTTATAATATGCCATTGTTTTTCTATAATATCATATAATATATAAATATATAATTTAGATCAAATTGTATCACTTATACCTATTAGTATTTCCATAAATTGTTCAAAATTTAAAAATTTAATTCAATAGGTATTTTACGTACCAGACATAGATAAACTCGAGATGGTCCATTCTCCAATGTTGTATTCAATTTGGTTTCGAGTGAAAATGTTTTTTGAATACTTGCTGTCTGCTATGAATTCTAAACTTTTCTTATCGGAACTCAGAATTGATCCATTAAATTCAATTGGCATACCAATAGCATTAGTTCTCAAATAAATTTTTGCATCATAGCATCCGGGACACAAAAAAATATTGAAAGGATATCCTGAAAAGTGTAAGTTCAATGTTAAACTGTTAAAATTCCGTTTGTAATTAAATATTTACGATTGCTTTTTTCTCCATCATTATACTCCGGCGTTGTTTTATAAATTGTTGTGATGTCATAGTTATCTGAGAAAAAATTTCAAAAGTAAAAACACTGAATGTAATGTAGGTAATGGCGTTTTAAAGTTAATTCAAGCAAATCTATCCATACTATATACCTTCACCCTTAGACAGTCTCCATTTCCTAATATATGGCACACCCTTTCCTAGCTCTCCTAATGTTGAATATCTTGGTTTAACACTCGATCAAAGACTTACTTGGGCCCACTATATAATAATCGCTTACGTATGCTAAAAACGGAATTGTGCAATAAATACACTTCCACGGGCATCAAACGGTCTGCAGTTATGGGTATTGCGGAAAAATCAAATATTAACAAAATTCAAGCAATTCAAAACATTTCTCCAAGGAAATTAACAAATGCACCTCCCTACGTCTCAAATTTTTATTCAGACCTAAAACTAAAAACAATAAGTGATGAATCTAAACGTTTCTATAAAAGATTCCACAATAACCACCTAAGTACTCATTCGACTTATCCACTTATCAAACATTTTGCCTCCGCTATACCATACCTGGTAATCCCCCAAGAAAAAAACATCCTATACTATAAAACAGAAATAAATATATAAAACAAAAATGGTTAAATATAATAATTAAGTAACCATAGGAGGTGTCATCGTTGAGTGGCTCCTTTCATCACAATAATGTTACATGTCAATTGACCTTTTAGCCTATATATTCTTTATTCTTATTGTATTAATGATACAGACCGTATATTATTTGTATATAAAAAAAAAAGTATTAAAGTTATGTATTATTGAGTTAAATATAAATATATAATACATCTAAAGATGGTACCAATAGTCTGGTTAAGACTTAAAATATCTATATACTCTTAATAAAACCCACAGTTTACATAAATAATACCTTTTTTTGTAATCCTTGTTATACTATTCACTTCAACAAATAATTTTTAACGGGTGGTGAATATTTAAATTTAATTATTTGATTAAAAAATATACCCGTATGTGATTTGTATTCAATAACATCATCCGCTGCTAGTCCGCCGATTACGAGAATATTTAAAACCAGTATAGTGACGATTTTTACGTTCATTGTTGTACCTACTTAGGTATAAATTCAAAATCGTAATAGTTTCTTGAATTTAAATTAAATAATAGGTAAAACACATTTTTTAACAGCGCATATGGTTTATAATAGTATGTATGACACCACGATGTTCACCACTGCAAATACAATTTAAATGAAATCACATAAAATATTGATGCGTATTTTATAGTTATTATTACCAGTAAGAGTCTAGATCACGGTTATCTACTAGTGGTCTAGATAAATATGATTATGACTTCGTTGTACATGTTAGCCATTATCGGTTGGTCCAAGTCCAATTTTTTGGGTGTATAGTGTTGGGATGTAAATAATATAAATATAAATTAACACTTTGAACCCTATAAACATTTAACTGCGACGAAAGTGTTTGATAGGAACTTCGGAGTATAATATTGATTATTTTTATACATTCCGATGAGTTACGTCGGCCAGACTCTGCGTATAATGATATTTGATTAATTTTTACAATCTAGAGATTCAAGCATAATAATATATGAAAAATGTTAATTTATATTTTAGCTGAAATTTTTTTTCAATTAAAAGGTTTTTGGGATTTTATCGTAGACATTTAAGATGTGTATCATGAATATGCGTAATATAAATTTTTAAAATATTTATTTTTTCGTTGATTAGTATTCTATTCTGTGGTTGAGCTTTGTAATTTTTTGTTTATATTCTATTATTTTGTTATTTTTTAATTATTGTACTTTGTACTTAAGTGCTATATGTATGGCCAGATAAACCGTAATCTTGAGTACAATTTTGTAAAGATGTTAAAAAACAATAATAATTCTGCTGGAACTATTAATTCTGTTCGAAAAAAATAATAATTATGCTGAAATTATTAAAATACAAGATAAAAATCTTTGGTTCTCATCAAAAACACAAACATCTCTGTTATAATTGTTTACTTAGATTTTTGATACTCATACATGTACACTATATGATGATCGGATGATCCAAATCATAAAATCATAACATACATGTTTAGAGACTTATTCATATGAATATTTATTTTATTTTATATAATATTTTCATGGGCTAAGCCCTTTTTACATTTTTTATTGATAGGTGAGTTGAAAAAATCGAAAAATAACTGGTTCAACGTATAGGATAATATATATATATAATATATAGGTACTAATAATTTATATATACAATATATAGGTACTAGATTCCCGATGTACCTATACCTATATGAGAATGCTACACAACGATAACATTTTTGTATACATTCCTTCTATCCATAAAAGTTGAGCATCATTCAATCGTTTAAATACCTATCACTAATATTGCCTTAAGCCATTAATATATAATATAGCTTCAGTATATCGGTTAGAATCCAAAATTAAAAGGCTGGCTGACGTCCGACGTACGCACCTAGAAGGCTAGAAATATATACAATATATTATATACCTATTTTGTGTTTACAGAATTCTTTCGATGAATGCGTTATATATTATGGTACCTATATAGACAATACAATATGGTCGATATTTAACAAACGGGTTATGTTTGCGGTCGCTGCGGTGACCGTTGATCTACGACCTGCTGCAACATAATATGAGTTTGAGTGGTTCGGGCGATCCATCACCTATATATAGACAATATATATTGTGTCATAGTAGCAGCTGTGCTGTGCGCATATCGTTATGATGTTAGTAATTTCTGAAATAAAATCAAGAGTGTTCAACTATAAGTTTTTATATTGACATTTTAATTTTCGTTCAATTTCTAAAGTTCATTAACCATTGTCGTAAATATGGTTAAAAATCTGGGGGGGGGAACTATAAATAGGGGAAAGTTGCCTAGGTTGGACCACTTTGAACATTTAGGAGTATTACAGATAATAATTTAAAATAATAAGTATTTAACTGCACTAAGGTTGTAGCTAAACATGTAAACAACAGTTTGGTATAGTTAGTTTTTTTTTTAAAGGTTTTAATGGTAATATTTTTTTATTTTTAAAAAATTTACCAAGTGGTCCATCTTAGGCAACCGGTTGCTTAATTTGGACCGCCTATATCTTTAATTGGACCTCTTGGATAAATTTTAAAATAAAACACATTTTTAGCATAATAAAATAATTGTATTTAAAAGTTATCAGTCAATACCTTACTGACTAGTTTTTTATAAAATAAACAACATTTTTATACCTTCTTGGTTAAATTTTAAAATAAACAACATACATAGAATAATAAAATAATAAAATTTATAAGTTATCAGTCAATACATATAGTCTTTGGCACTGATTGAGCCCATAAATTTTGTTTTTATATGCCCTTACAGCATGTTGTAGGTCTTCTTCTGACCACTGTCCATACTTTCCACGTTTAGCCATGTCTGTAAAAATATATGAACTATTTTAGTGGTCCATTTTTGGAAACTATTGGTGGTTCAATATAAGCAACTTTGTTTTTTTTTAGAAAAATTGATGAATAAATTTCAATATTAATATAAGTGTAAATTATTTTAAACGATTTGTTTCTTTACAAATTTGTCTATAACACCGTTAATAAATAAAGTATAGTTTACTTACCTATTTTACAGTAAAACCTTATTGATTATTTTAAAAAAATAGCATGAAAATGACTGTTTTTGGATTAAGTGATATAATACTGATAACGATGATTGATAACAATATGTGATAACTCCAAAGACGTTTTAAAACGGTTTTAAACAAATTAATAAATGTTACAATCATTAGTTATGTTTAACAGCTGATTAATTGAGGTGGTCCAATTTAGGCACCGGTCCAATATTGGCGACTTTACCCTATCAATTGACATTTTTTAACATAATTTATTATACTTACGAGGAAATACATTAGGAGATATTTTAGGGGCTAAGCCCCTTAGAAAGGCGGCTTAAGCCTCCATCCTCAATCTACTCCTATGGAATTAACTAGTTGAATACTTACTAATTATTGTTTACCATTTCTGAAATACTAATATATGTAGTAGGTATGTTTGAAAATTTCATCTGAGGTTATATATATGACTATCACCATGACCATTGTATGATATATAATTCGTGTTTCTATATATTATTATTTTAAGGTTATCACTTATCAGTTATCACTAATTACTAATAACGGTCGAATAAAATTGCTGTAGATGTCTAGTATTAAATAGTTATAAATAAGATGTTATGGAGTGATGGGGATATCAATCGAGTTCGACAAGTTCATCCGTGATAAATAATAATCAGATCCTAAACTAGAATTATAATTTAAATAGGCAGGTATTGAAAATACAACACTCATTAGTTTAACTTAAAATACTAAAATACTCCCAGGTGGTCGTGGATGCTACACTATTACCAGGACCGGAAGGGGGTCTCCATAGGATCAATTTGGGATTTTCAATTGAGGGGGAGGTCTAACATTTTTTAAGCGCAATATTAATTAATGAACTTGACTACAAAAAAATCAATATCACACGCATAAGAAATTGCCATTAGGAATTGGTTCGACGTCGATCATCGATCAAATTTGGCGAGTAATGTAACTAATAAATAAATTAATAAATAATAATATCAGCATGACGGTAATGGACTTGGTGGTGGGAGGGGTAAGAAAGTTTTTCGAAGATTCTTAGAAACGATAAGATAAACTAAATCGAAAAAAAAATAACTGTCAATATATACGACAGAATAAAAATAAGTATATCAGTGGTGGGAATATGGGTTGAAAAAAAACTTAGTGAAAAAAAAAATGTCAGATGAATTTTGAAAACGAGATTTATTATAGGTAAGCTATAAAATTTTAAACGTTATAATAAAATATGTTATTTTAAGTAATAACATTTTTATTTTTCGCTTTAATCATGATGTTGTGTGTGGCTAATTTGGCTGTTGGGGGTTAAGTCCTCCTATCCCCCTCCCATACTTTGTCGACTGGTTGGTACATTGTATCCCTTCCTAAATGCGTCCCGGTGTATAGGGAGCTTTTTCACATACTGTTTTTATTGCATTAGTATTGCCTTTATGTTCGTTGTGTATAATATGTTCCTCTGTTATATAGGAGACAATATTTTATCTAACAGTGTTGTATGTTTTAGTTACCTATATGGCTATATAGTGAAATATAGTTAGATATGTATTGTGACAAATTGTTTTATGTTTACTCTATCTTTTGTCTATCCAAATTAAGTATTATATTTAAATCATCATAATTTATTATATTATATATAACCTAATGCGTTGTATGTAGCTAACAATACATGTGTATCATTTGTTTTTTGCTCTAAGATTATACTCTAAACTTTAGAATATAAAGTTTTAACACCACCGGGCATCTGTAAAAAGCTAATCGAAACCTTGATATTCGATGTTTAAGCAAACTAAATTTTATATTGAACACACAGCCCGGCGTAAAATACGGAAGTTGGTATCTCGAGTGTGCGGACGAAACAAGCTTTGGCGACGTTTGAAATCGAAGTTTAGTATTAAATCACGTTCTACATTTGTATTGTACATTTTAAACTTAACAATTTCAAACTGTCGGTACATGACGTGATACGCCCATGTATAATATTACCTCGCCAACCGCATCATGAGCAGACACCGAACTAGAGTATACAATATGCGCACTCTTGAGTCTAAAAACTGTTGATGTTCTATCAGCTGACCGAACACTGACAATAGAAATCATCGGGGTTACCCACTCACGAGTAAACCATAATATGTCCATTTTATACTGTCGACGAGGACCAGGATGACCGCGATTGGAATGATTTATGTTAATCGAGAAAGAGTAATATTTTCCGTCGATCGGTCTCTCAAAGGAAAATGCTGGTGGCTATATACAGTTCGAGCCCACCGTATTCCTCACCACGTCCGACCGCCCTTCAGAAACTGACTGATGGAAAATGTTACACATTACAATATTCACGAACGGGTAACCGCGATAATTTCCACGTCGTTGGTTAGGTTAGGTTTCGACGAAAACTCGGTCGTTGCCGGCCTGTTTTTCCGTGCACCAT